TGATCAATTTTGGTTGGTGAATCTTTTCGTCAGTGTACATATCTAATTTGATCAGCTTAAGCTTGGGATTCTTTTCGTTTCTTTTCTACTGGCTACTGGTTGAGCTTTTGGTCTTTTCTCGCTCTCAAAAGCTAAGAGAGTACACTTTATAATGAGATGGTTGGATGGAGGACTCGATCGATTTTGGTTTGTGAATCTTTTCGTTTGTTTTCCACTGGTTACTGTTTGAGCTCTTGGTCTTTTTTCACCGTTAAAGGGTAAGAGAGTACACTTTATAATGTGATGGATGGATGGAGGATTTTATCAAGAAAAAGTTTCAATTATATTAAATCAATTATTTGTTTGTTTTTTTTTTTTCGTGACATTAATGGTTGTTACGTTTTTTAGTAAGTATCCGCTTTACATCGATAATATGACTCCGAAAAAAGAAAAGCAACCAAGTGATTATTCCCCCCCTCTTTCACATTGAGCCTTTTTTACACATCTAAGCGAATTTCCGATTGTTGATTTGCTGAATAACACTAGAAGAAGAGGAATAGTCCTTCTTCTTTATCTAAAATTCAGTAAATCAATCACAGATTATTGACTTTGTAGGGCAACAAAAAAGGTTCAGTGAGAATGTGAAGTTTTCTTGGATGAATAGCAAATTTTTCTTGATCAAAATTAATGTCAAATGGATTTAAGACGACGCTGTAGCTGGAAGCATTCTTGATGCCAAACGTTTATTGCAAGACATAATTAATGATGACATAAGATCGAAGAGACAATGAATGATCTCTGGTGTCTGAACGAATGTGTTCTGCGTTTCTGTTGTGTGATTAAATCGAAGCACTATTTGACAAATTTTATCGAGAGTTTGACGATTAGTAATCTTGGTCCGCGTCTGGCAAATTTGATTCTCAAATCAACCTGCTCTCCTTCCTCTCGCGAAGACGAATAGGTGACTTTTTTTTTTTTTTTTTTTTTTTTTTTTTTAAATAAAAAAAAAGTGGAACTAAATAAAAAAATAACTCAGTTCGAAGTAACTTAATTTCTGAACTTGTGCTTACGCCTAGCAAATAATATTCACATCTCAGTCACTTCTGGTGAAGCAAATGCATGGATATGTGGAGTATGTTTCTTTTAACTTTAGATCGGAGGATTTCTTTTAGTTTTTTTTTTTTTTTTTGTTAACCTTAGACGTATCTACGTCCAACATTATTTCTAAATTGTCCCAACTTATTGCAGTTGTAGACACGTTAGGGTTTATTTGTGACTAATAGAATCGTATGTAAGATTAGAACCATTCTCACAGTGGAACGGTAACAATAATCTAGGGGTAGGGACGGCACTGGTTGATGAGTGAATTATTCGATCGAACTTTAAGGAAGGGAAGAACAAGAAGAGGATGACTCTTCTTAGATGGTGGCCACTAGCAAAACATTGCAACCATTAATAATGTTATTGAAAACAAAATTGTGACGCGTCTGTCCTTAATGAAAAAAAAAAAAAAAAACTTTTTCGATTAAAAATGAAAATGCCATTTCTCTTTGGTACACCCTTTAAAATGCGATTCTATTTGAATTTTAGTAAAGTCAATATATTACTTAGCATACATTATACGAAACGAATTTGTTTAGGGTTACATTAATTAACACTTACTTGTGTTAAATTTAGTTAACTGTAGTACAACAATTATTAGAGATATTTTCAAAGGGCTTAAACTTGTTTCGATTAAGAACATATTGTTTTATTTAATTCGATTTTCCTTGTAAATCAACTTATGGCAATGATTTCATTTCATTTCTGAATAATTTTATCTAATTACATAGATTTTTTATACAATTTTAAGTAATTTATTTTCAAATTTCCCGCCATTGTTTATTTTTTCTAATTTTTTTTTTTTTTCAATTTATTTTATGCTTAGCAGTACCGGGCCTTACAAACGCATTAAAACAACGTTAAAACTCAACTGATTATTAACATCTCTAACCCCATCTAACTAATTTGCGACAATCGATGAGTTTTTTTGTTCGTTTACATGCATATATATTTATATATATGTATATATATATATATATATATATATTTGTTTACATACCCTATAGACAATTTTCAGTTTATAATAATAAATACAAAGATATGTTTATGGGCTTGTGTAATATATTGTTTGTTAAATTTAACAAAACTCACAATGCATTGCAACTGATCAATGTCTAGTTAAACTGAAATTATCTTTAGTGAAGTCTGTAAATATATATATATATAAAAAAAAAAAAAAAAAAATGAAAAATTATATACGTAGATTTAAACGCTTCTGCATATACATGTGTACATGTGTGCGTGTATGATGAATACATGTACGCAGATTCATACATATATTTATCTAAATAAGAGATTATTATTATTTTTTTTTTATGCATGTGTTTGTTGTAGAACAGTAACGTTTTTCCCTTGAGTAACCCTAATGTTAGTTAGTACATCAAGTACTGGTTAGTAGCGCTTTTTATATAAATAAAATATAAATTGCGCTACGCCGAGGCTCACGTGCTCTTAACATTTATTGCTATTCGTAATTCAATTCGTATTTACAATTAGAATATCAGCAGCAGCAACAGCAATAACAACAACAGCAATAACCAGTAGCAACGACAACCGTAGTGATAATTTGTACAATCATTTAAGTGCGTAACGCTATGAGAATTATTTTAAATAACTCTTTAAAAGTTTACTATTGTCGCTATGCTCTATGTAAAAACCTAGACAACGTAGTGGTGCAATATTGTACATATTCATGCTCATGTCCGTCCGCGCTGTGTTAAGTATGTAATTGCTGCTGTTGTTTATGGAGGTAAATAGATTCAAAATAGGTCTGCCTCTGTTTCTAACTAAGGGCTAAATTGAATTAAGCACACCCGTCCGCCCATTTATCTTCTAACCAACTACAGCGTATATATTTTTGTCTTTTGAGTACATCCCAAGTTCGAATAGAGTCATAGTCCCATAGTACTACAATAATGAACTAAATTGTCGGGAATTTAAAACAAAGCCGAAAGATGAGATGAAAATGTCAATATATATTTTTTATTAATCATTTATTGCATATAGAGCTTAGAGTGACCCTTTAATTGCTTGCATCTGCGGTTGGGAATAAGTTGCGTCCAAAAGTAAACAAATCATAGCATAGCCTAGGTTTTCTACGGAAAGGTTAACCAACTACGTTCCTCAGGTTTTTCTTCTTTTTCTTTCTCGCAAGAGGTTTCGCTATATAAACATTCGCCTCGAAGGCATGCAGAAAGCTGACTCTAATACTGTATATAAATGTTCATAAGCCAAGCTTGGACATGGGCGAAAATAAAATGAAAGCCTAATCGTAATTCTTAGCCAAAATTTTCTAATAATTTGATGCAAATAAATAGCAGGGCCAATCAGAAAGCCTGTGGGAAAAGGGATATTGGTGCGATGGGTCAAACCCCCAACATACTCACAGTGAGAGAGAAGGGCTTCGACTTCTGAGTCGATGCTAATCTTAAATTTAATACAAGTGTTCAATAATGTTATACGACAGATAGGTGTAAAAATTACTCAATCAGCTGACTAGCGTATCCGTATACGTTACACCTTGAAGTGTTTTAATATCTTTCAATATTGAAGGCAGTTTATAGATGCTGACATCGGGTAAACTCTATAGATGTCTGTGACTTACTATAAGCCGACTACTTACTATCGACTGAAATATCTTTTGATCGTAAAATTGCCGGGGAAGTAACATAGTCAAACTACAATTGAGTTTACGCGATATTGACAGCTCTAAACCGGCCCTTGATTTGTTGTAATGAGTACACCGTAAGGTTTATAGGCAAAGCTTAAACTAAGTTTGCAAAAATGGATTTCCATTCAATGCCTGACATGGCAAAAATTGTAGTACCGTTGCATAGAAGAAGAGCCTGCTTTGCTTTATATAATTTCTCAAAGAATTAATTTTGTTTGGCTTTGGCGGTATTTTTGTTGTTTTTTATGGTCCATGCGAGTCCCGCCCCTATGCTTCTATATAATTTAATACGGTTTCGTCCGTATATGGAGATTGAAGAGTTTGAAGAGCTTTTTCAATATTTCATTTTTACAAGTTGTAAACGCAATAACAAACAGCTCTCTCATCTCTCTCTCTCTGTCTCAGTGAATGGCATAAAAATGCTAGGAAATCGATACATGTGTAATCGAATAAAAGTAATAATTAATAATTCATTTAAATAAAATATTAATTGTAAAAACTATGTTAACGATTGAATATCACTCAGTAAAATGCTGCCCTCTTGGACTTTTACTTACTATAAAGTAGATAATTATATAGAAGAATGTCGTTTAAAATATGATAAAATTAATCGAGTATGAAAGAAAGCCCAAGCAAGAAAGTTAGATTGCTTTTAAAGCGAATGCTATACATCCAACTACACTCTCTAAGTTAAAATAGAAGAGAATCGTTTATGTATTTTTCAATTATATCCGTATATATGCTACTTATATAATTCGAATAATTATCTGAGTAAGAGTTTAGTTTGCAATTTATTGATCAATTAAAGATTTTAGTTCTTTCAAAATTTTCTTAAGCCTATTTTTCAAATGAATTTTTAAAATTCGAGTAAAAGAGTATTGGCCAAGATAAGATATTGATGATGATGATGATGATGGTATGATTTCAACTTCAATAATGATCGTGACATTAAAAAGCCGCATATCAGATATTCGTCTTAAGTAAAAGTTCTCCAGAACTCTTTCTTTCTTTAAAAATAAAATATTTGGCCATGTTTTCGTTAATAGCAAAAGCGAATGTTCGTGTCTTCAATTTAATTACACCAAACAAACACTAATCAAATATTTTGCTGTTGTACAGGGCAATAGTAAAATTTAAATTACGGTTACATATATTAACTCTTAGTTTAGATGATTCATGACCTCTTTCCTTTTAATCTATCGCAACATTGTTATTCAATTAGTTAGTATTTTTCATATGATACTCAAATTTATCTTGAGTATGTATATACATATATATATATATATATATGTATATATACATACGCTTTTTATTTTTGTTTCCGAAATCATTGTATATGCAAATGATAGATAACTTAACTAAGAAGTTAAGTTATATTAGGGTCTCGGCAAAGCAACGGCAAAGGAAATGACAAATTATTACTTAATCGAATTGCTTTTAATTGTTATCACTTTGCTTTGTTGCGCCCAACCTTAACGCATAGTCTTTAGAATAATTGTTATCAACTTTGATGGATTTTCAGCAGTCAATTTTTCAAAGAACCTTAAGTAAACTTTGCCTCATCTGTTGATATCAAATTTGATTTAACTACCATAGATGTCATGAAATATAACTAACGTGCTCGCTATGCCGTCATTCTTGGCTTTATGAATTTGATTTGCATACCTATCTTGCACAATGTCGATGTCCTTCCTTTTATCATCATCGAATTTTGTAGTTGTATTCAACAGCAATTCGAAGAACTAAAGTTTTTCTATCAACAGGTACATCGTCCATCGTTTGATTAAATTGTTTCAATATTTTTCTAGCGAGAATGTAAAACGATCTCTAGTATTAGCATAAAATATGCTTAACGCATGCCTGGCTTTATTACTTTTCCGACGAGCCAATTAAAAATTTAAATCAAATCAATTTGGAATAAATTAATGCTGAAATAAGTTTTTTGTTTTCAAATTGTCACATTGACAATGAGTGCGGTCAATGTCTGACATGTTACCATGAAATGCATGACTAAAAATGACCTAATATCGAAAGCGACGGCACACATGAAAGAATTGCTTTTAGAAAAGTTCTGAATGTAAATGTTGTGGTAAAATGTAATCAATGAAAAAAAAAAAAAATAAATAAATAAATAAATACATAAAAAAATATCAAATAATAAATTATGTAAATTATTGATATCGTAGGCGCACGCAAAGCAAGTTGAAAGATATACTATCTGTACTGTATACGTGCTTATGTAATATTTACAAAAATTTTGCTTTATCATCGAAAAAAATTACATTAAACTTGAACCTATAGAGCTTATGGTCTCTTACTTTTTTGCTTGTCAATCTGCTAAGCAAACAATTTATATTCCATATAATCTCTATTTCTCTCTCTCTCTCTCTCTCTCTCTCTCTCTCTTTGAGAACAACCGTCAGAAATTCGTAGTTTTCCCCAATAGCTTTGGCTCTTTTTTTTTCTCCATTTTTTACGTTCATATAAATAATGCCTACGAGTCCTATTGCGAGTTAGATACGATTTTTTGTTATTTAAAATTATTAAATGTTTTTTTATACCCACTACTGAAATATGGCCATATATTCATTTTGGTGTTTCTCATAACGTATGTAACACCCAAAAGACTTCAAAGCTTGTATAAAGTGTTTATATTCTTGATTAAGCCATGTCTGTCCGTCCGTAAGGTATGTTGCTGACACTCTCCTGCTCGCAATACGGAAGATATCGACTTCATATTTGGTAGAAACATTAGAAGTTTTTGCACGCAGGTGGGTATTACAAATGGTTCAAATCGCTTCAAGCAGAAGCCCGCAGTGGAGTGTAAACTGAACGCAACTTCGTTTTTCTTAACAAAAATTTGTGATTTTTTTCCCCTTACTCAGAAATTGTAAAAGTCAGTTGGCTGAAATTTTCCACATTTACCTTACGAAGCATTCTACTTTTTACGTGCAAAAATGAAAAAAATCGGCCATGCCCACACAAAGTTACAAGTGATTAAATATTATTTTTTTTACTTCTTTGAGGCTTTCTGCTTAATTATCATAAGGCATACAAGACAGAATGTTTAAAACTATTTTGTACACTCCTCAAATGAAGATGTATTATTATCTGTTTAAAAATGGGTTAGTTCTAAAACGAATATGGTAGATATCGCGACCTGGCGGATTAATTTTTTCTGAATAA